AAAAGATTGGCTGGCACTGCCATAAATTGTGGATTTACACAAACCTAGACCATGTGGACACACACACACACACACACTGTGGATAAAAATACACATATTTCTCACATTTTTCTTTTTCAAACCTCGTCACAAAACCAGTGTAGATCGGTTTCAAAACCGGGTTTTTGCAAAATACTAAAACATTTGTGTTCATTGAAAGGAAATCATCGAAACAGGATTACACTTTATATATTCAGACAATTTTTTTTCTGGAATTTGGAGCCAATAGACCTTTTCTGACATTAAAGTATGACTACAAAAAGAAAAAGGAAACGTTCCATTTGTGGCGTGTGAATGACCTAAAGGACCGGACACGGGTCAAGTCCTTCTTAAACGTATTGTAAACATTGTGTCCGAGCATTCAGTGTGTGTGTGTGATATATTTCACACGTCTCCGTCGAAGTGTCACAGAACGCCTCTGACTCTGTTTCATTACATTGTTTTAAAAATCGATGAAAGTTAAAATTAAAACATTTCAAGTCTGTCTCCTAACCAGCAGGTTCAATGATTTAATTAAATAAATAATTAATTAAATTAATGAAACTGTTATTTAGTGACAAGCGCAAATTCAACGAGGTTACGACCCCCGTGTTTTTATAATGCTAAACATTTATTTCCAAAAACACTGGTACAGTAGACTATAAATCTTTTTTTTTTTTTAATGCAGTAATAAAACACAGAGTGATGTTGCTGCTTTTAATGAAGTCATTTATTCATAAAGTGTTAAATGTTCAGTGTCCAGGAAATACTAGGACACAGCTTAGCTGGCTGATAGTTAGCCAAAGGGAACAGAACAGAAAAGACTTTTCTGCTACATTTACTAATGTTTAATGTTGTCTTTGATGATGATTAAAGGTGCGACACGCAGAAATATTTCACACTGGTCTAATGTGGTCACAACTTTTAATGAGTACAATTAATACTTTCAACTTAAAAGTACAGTGAGTGTTCACTGAATATAAGAAAATGAAAACGTTTCTGTTCGATGTATGTACAGTATGAGGGGAAGGTAGAAAGTTCTCATCTGAATTTTAAAAAGACACAATGCTACTTCATTTCCCATTTCCTGCCAGAATTATCTTTACACCAGCTGACAGGTTATTTTCCTCGTCTCAGGACTGAAACAACCATCCTTTTTTAAATGTTTTTTTTTTTTGACCATCCTTTTTTAAATGTTTTTTTCAGTTTTAGAAAACGCAAACTTAATCACATGGAACAAAGTTAAAACCTTTTGCAAAGCTGCCAAAATTTGAGGGTATGTTTTTTTTATTGATATTACAATTTGCACAACAAAATTGACATTTGCTTTGCAAGACACCTGAGAAATGACTTTTCATAGCTCTTAAATCTGGACAGACTAAAGGCTTTTTGACTTGTGCTCGTACGTGTAAGGACACTCTACACATATATATTCAAACACCTCCACCAAGGTCATTACATTTTTTTAAAAACAAAATGTAAGTCCCTGCAGACATTTACTTCACACAATGTTTTGTGAAGGGGTTCTTAACAACTCCTCATCTGTCCTTTAGGGCTTGGAACCAGCATCCTTTGAATTGCATTTCTGCCTCTTACTGGCCAGACTTAAAGGCTATTTTTATCTCTGAAGATTACAAGCAGATACAATTTGACCGCTTTCAAAAGACAGAGAAAGACGGAAAGAGAAAATAAAGGCAGAATGGGGTCGACTTTGAAATTGTATATAGCATTTAAAATGTTTTATTGAAATTTAGCATTTAAATATATACTGTATATATATATTATATATACACATATATATTACATATTCATATATATAACGTGTATATACAGTATATACATACTGTATATATATATTGTACATTAAGGAATTATAAATAAATATATACATATATATTAATATAATATATTTATTAGGGAATTAATTATAAAATAATTCGTTATGACAGTCCCTTCTCTGGACTAATCCTTCTCTCATTAATATAAATTTAAAAAAATCTTGAAAATCCAACCTTGTTCAGCAGCGACTGTGCTCTTCTTTGCTGTGTCCTTCTCTGCTCCTGCCCTCAACCATAACCTCTTTTTGTGTGTGTGTGTGTGTTTTTTTTACCTACAGGGAAGTGTGTGTGCGTCAGGACGGCAGGGTCCATTTAACAGTGGTGTATTTTGGGAACGAACAGATGAGTGAGGTCCGCAGCACTCTGGAGAACATGTCCAGGTGGGTGGGAAACGCAGCCAGTGTTAAATCTGTGCATTTGTCACAAACTAGGAAGCACAGTTTAGAGGAAGAAGCAAACAGTGCCACAGTCGTGCACCTGTTCCAGGAGGCACATGATGCAAAAATACCTTCAATGTTGCCACAAACCCAACAGTTTCATATTTCACAACCAGTCTATTTCCCTCTTGACACACACACACACACACACACTGAACTCCCAGGTCTGATGAATAATGGAGCAGTGTGCCACCTATGCCAACAGACTGAGCGCACAGATAAATTACATCAGGACTGTAATCGTCCCTGACTCCTGCTAGTGTCTCTCAGTGTGGGACACCCACACCTCAGGAGACAGTGGGACTTATCAGGACTCAGATCCACCGTGGACTGAGCCTTGGATTCCCTGGTGGGGTTGCTATGGTAATGCTTGTCGTTTTTTTCCAGCCCTGGAGGTTTTTGTGTAGCTTCATATCAGTCTCCAGAATCACATGACTCTTCTGTGTCCTTCTCTGTGTGTCCCCTGCTCCTGTCGCTGCGGGGAAACTGGGGAGCAAATACACGGGCGAGCAAAAAAGAAATAATAACAAGATTTTATTTTCGCATGCCAACACTTCTTCTTAGTTAGCATTTAAATCCTTTTGACTTTTTTTGTCATGCAACAGTCTCAATTAGAGGTCTTCAATAGGGGGTCCACAACCCCTGAGAGGCTCGCAGAGGTGCTGTTGGAGGGTCACAAAATGTTTCTACCGTAACTCCATGAAAATGACGCTAACATAATGCATTTTTGAGGAGTCCAGTATCGAATGCTTGGTCTAAAAAAATGTCAGAATCTGAATCTTAACAAAAATCATTTATGTAAAGAATGTCAGAATCTTAACAAAAATCATTTATGTAAATTCATGGTTTAACGAAGCATTTATAGTACCAGTACTCCCATATTACTCGTAGCTTTATTACTTGAGTCTTCTGGGAATCTAACACCAGGCTTTTACTAAACACACACTGCAAAAACTGCAAATGAGCTCTTTATAAAAAATGCATGTGTGTGTCGCGATGAAATAAGACAAAAATGAAAAAATGTGAATTATTATGAGAGCTAAGGTTTGCTAATGTGCTAATTAGTGGAAAAAATGGGGCTAAATAATTTAACTTCTGGAGCTAACTGATGATCCTGACGATGAAGAAGAAAAATAGATCCACCCTTGCCACTGTTGTCGCCTCATGCCATTAATCCAAACTCAATCACAGTTTGATCACGTGTTTGGACGAGAACAGGCGTAATAACCACAGATTAGTGACACATAATTAATTTGTTATCAAAATGGCCTTTTAATGACTGATCTTGATTTGTTTTTAATGGGAAGTTAATTGGCTCAGCCTGAAGACAGATGGGCTGAGCTCTAAATGTGGATTTTATTGACTTTTTAAATCTGGCACATCTTTGAGATAAATTACAATCTGTTACCGGAGGTTGAAGCCTCAAAACAAACAACCAGCTGTTTGTACAGCGTGACCCTCGACGGACCAATGACACGGAGAAGGTCTGCGGTTTAAACTGTTAGCAGACACAATCAACAACATCTCCTTCTACAACAAAATCATTAACCGGTCCCAACCCTGACGCTGATCTTATTTAAAGTTGCCCTTCACAGTAATCAAATCCCCGTAATCACCTTTAATGTCCTTTATTCTGTCTGTCCTACCTTTTAATGACACTGTTCAAACGGTTCCAACAGCCTCTTTGCCAAAGTGCCTTCACATTTCCCTCAGCCGTTTAACCTCATGTCCTCAGTGGTGTAGATTTACCCACATCTGTGTCTTGAAGGGAGACAGGAGCAACCGGAGTTTCATGATTAATGCAGCCATACTTTAAAGACCGGAGTCGACATTGAACTGCCAGAGCCACATAAATTCCCAAATATTTAAGAATATAGTGCAGACGGTATATATTAGGAGATGAAAAGGCAGTTGAGCACAAATATTAATCTGTTTTAATAAAGAAATTCAGACATTTTTAACACATCGTGCAGTTGTTGAAGGTCATCAGGTCATCAGGTATCGTCTGCAAAAACAGGAACAACAACATGTACGGAGTGAATACAACCCTGCTAACCAACGCTTTAGATCGTGTTTAAAATATGATTGTTGATATGATTAATGAATTCATATATTGAACAAAAGGACTCTGACGCTGTCATCACATGAGACAATAAAACAATAAAACTAAGGGTGGAATGAAAAAAAGATCAACATTAAATTGAACTTCCTATTAACACAGTCAACGGAACAGAAAGTGATCAGAGCTTATAAAAAACAGAACATTTCAATTAAAAACATTCTCCTGTTTCTGGGAAACAACGTGTCTCTTAAAGTCTTAACGTTTTCTCATAATGTCGTTGGTGATTATCAGGTCACTAGGACAATAGTACAGGCATGGGCAAACCGAGGCCCGGGGGCCGGATGCAGCCCAAAGTTGAGCTTTGTAGTCCGGCATGCCAAATTTATAATGCGTAACTTACAATGCCCTGTTTTCCCTATAGATGGCGTAGAGAAGGCTAAAAGCATTTGTACCATTTTAACCTTTATGCATGACTTTTACATGTCATTTGTCTTAGTTCACAGGAACGCTCCATCTATCTGTGAAATTTTAGGACGAATTTTGACCCGTGAGTCAAAATGTTTGCCCACGTCTGACACAGTGAGTCAGATGACTCGTACAGATGACTCGTACAGATGACTCATACAGACCAGGTTCTAAAGGTACATTTTCTCATCTAGATCAGGATCCTGTTGCTTAACAACTGGAATATTTAACCTTGATAGATCGTCAAAACCCCCAGGATAACCCAGTCCCTGTTTCACCAAATGTGTCTGGTACTGTACTGACCTTCAACAAGAGGACATTGAGTTTGTGATGCTCAGGAAATCTGCAGTACCAGCAGATAGATATCAATAGTTTTGTGCTTTAAAAAAAGAGATGAGTGATGTGTTAAATGTGTAAAAAAAAAAAAAAATCTACAAACGGCCCATGAGCTTCTAAAAAGGAAGTAAATGAAACCATAGCCGAAGGAAGTGAAGATTAAATCATCATTTCCCTTCTTCAGCTTTCTCTGATATTTATTCAGTTCCCTCCAAAAAGCCTCTCACACAGCAGCTGCTGCAACATTTCAGTCAGCTCTCATGTACTGTAGGTCAACATCCCTCTGNNAGAACCACCACAAAAAGAACTGCTCTGAGGATGCCAGATGAATAATGTGGAATAACGAGCAAAAGAAGCGAGCTTGAGATGAGGTTGGAAACTTGCTGGAATTTTGATATGAAAGTAAAAAAAAACACAGTTTCCGTTCATTTCACTACTACATGGACCCATTCTGCGCTGCACAAACCCCTAAATAACTAGCCTGGGGCTCAGCCTGACAGTATTCACAAGTACTCTGCAGTTATCTACCCGTGACATGCACAGACTACTGATTCCCCTGCTGGTCGTAATGTATTTTTCCCTCTCTGTTCAATCACCAGTACAGAATATATACGACTCCCTGGGCTCTGTAAACAGCAGGCGAGTGACAGAACAACAGGAAAAATGAGCAGCTAATATAAATGGCAGCGTTGAGTTGGAACTCATTGAAAAGTGTTTTATGAGGCATCAGGACGGTGATAATGTTAACACGCTGTTATATAACGGTACAGTACGGAGAAGGGATGTCCGGATTTTGTCTGCCAGCTCTGATGATCTTGCTTTGAATTCAGTTCTTGTTCTACATCAGGTGCAGTAGAATTTGAGAAAAAAATGAATGTGATTTGCTAAAATAAAAAAACATTTTAATATATAAGTAGATGATATTACTTGAGATGGGGCCACACGGTGGCAAATGTTGGTAGAACGCTTGTCTCTACTTGTTTCTACATGTGGCCCCCTGCTCCCCCCCCACCCCCCCCGCCCATCGCTGGGATTGGCCTCAGTGTTCCCTACGACCCTGAAAAGGAATAAGCAGTAGATGATGGATAGATGGATGGATGGATGTACTGACGGATGGATGGGTGGATGGACTGACGGATGGATGGATGGATTTTTTTTTGGCTTGTGACCCCAAAGAGCCATCACTCAAGTTGTGCCAACACAGATATTTTTATTTGCTGCAATTTATTTGAACTTGATTTATATTCATGAAACTGAAAAAATGCAGTTGTTTAACCATTGGGTGTGGTGTTTTTAATCATAATAAGTAAAACTATAAATCTATAAAAAGTAAACTATAATAATATAGTTTAATTTTTTTTTTTTTTTTTTTTTGTAATTACTTGACATTTCAGGCGACTTAATTTGAATTCCTGGTGAACCCAAATCGGGGCCAGGACCCCAAAGTTGAAAAACACTGCTTTATAAAGACAAAACAAGTGCATTCCCTTTCCTACCCTGAGGACGTGCTTTAAATGGAGTGTAGAAAGTCCAACCCTGGTGTTTGGCGTGTGTTGTTTTAGCCACATCATTGCCACCTGCTGGTCTATTTCCACCCAGAAACATCCTTGTAAAAGAAAGCTAAAAATAGAAATGGTTATTATAACACTGGGGAAATAACTTTATTATAAACCTGCATGTTTTTTTGTTTTTTTGTTGTTGTTTCTTTGCCACTAAATTGGATTCTACCTTAGACTGCGGTGTCAAACCGACGCACAGCAGGGACCGAAGACAGAAACTGTCACCGACTCCACTGCATTTATGACAGTGTTTATCTAATCTTTCACCCAACTCACTTTCACATTAGCACTATCCCTTCAAAAACAAAATATTTTGTGGGCAACTATTAACAGGCCACAGAATTTCATCTAAATTCCTATGACGTTGCTGCAGTCACTCAGACACAGACTGTACTTGGCAAAAACACGAGCTTAATCCAAACCTGATGAACAATTACCACAAACATACGTCATCTATGCTAATCTAAAAATGTTAATGTGAATTAGCTTGGGTGAAAACAGCAGAGGAGGAGGAGGCCGTGTGGAAAAGTTTAACTCCAGTCTAACTCGGTCTGTTCTGCTCTACAGGACAACATGGCGACGTGTAGTGACTGGACGATTGTTCTTTAATGTTGCCGTCTCCACACTGATCGATACACTTTTGTTCTTTCTCTGCTCATCAGTACACATGCTATAGTTCAACATTTCCCTTTTCCACTTTTTTTCTGGCGACCCATATTTTAAAAATCACAAACGTTCACGACCCAAGTCAATAGACATTATTCGTAAACTCCTGGGAAACATGATGCGAGACGACCCCCCCAAAAAAAATCTCTTGCGACCCACCTGAGGGTCACGACCCAGTCTTTGGGAAACAATGCTATAGTTGATATATTTTATATATTATATATGATTGTAGTTTCCAGGTGCTGACTGTGGCTGGAGGTGGAGTGACGATCACTGGATCAGTTCAGTCAGGATGTTTCCTCACAGAAACATAAATACCAGCAGTACAATGCAAATACAAATTACCATTTCATTAAGCTGTTGGGATGCATTAGCACATCCGAGTGGATAATTACACTGTTGACTCGCTGGCGCTGCCACAGCAGCCGTATCATTATCAGGACTGTGTTCGTCCTCCCTGTGGAACATGAATGAACACGTTCCACGGTGTGTTTTAATGGCGGTGTAGATGTTCTGTCAGTGGTGAACAGATTCTGATTCTTCTCCCTTTCGTCCAGATCAGAAAAAGTGCTATGACAGAATGTGTTCATGCTGAGGAAAAGGCCTGCTTTTTGGCCACTTGTAGAGAGAGGTAGACTTTTCACACTGAGTCATAGCTGTCTGCAGTCGGTACTAGAACCATAACTGCACTAAAATACATGAAAACTGTTCCTGGTACAGACCCACGGGTACACTGTTTAAAAAAAAAAAACGTGTTTTTGCTGCATTTTCTGAGCAGAACTAACAGGATCAGCACTGCTGCTGCTGCCGAGGCTCCACATGACAGCCCTCTGCAGCCGTCCCACTCTAAAGCACTTCCAATAGAGCAGATACCATTTGATCGCATTCTTCACGCCTACGGGAAACAAACGTACTTTTTTACAATGCATGGATGCTGATGCTAGTGGGAAATAAAAATAGGGATTGAACTGCTACTGTATAAAAACGTATGCTGTTGTTAAAAGTATCAGCACAACAACTGTTATGACATTTCATTCATACGGCAGTACAAGGGGGCGCTATAAACTACTTATGAATTCTAATATTAATTATTTGACCTTGCGTAACAGTGCGACTAAGAAGTCATGCAGTTAATCGTGATTAAGATTTTTAATCATTACACAGCTCTAACATATATATGTATATTTACATATATATAGTAGACATTTTAATCTTTGATTACAGACATTTACAATTCAAAATATATTTTAAAAAATACCATCGTTTGTTCCACCGTGTGCAAAGAAAATTGATTAATTTTCTGATTTGAAAATGTACTTGAACAACAGTATGAAGAAATTTGTCACATTATTTAATGGTAGAATTCAAATGTCTATAAACTAAATGTTACTCCAGTCGTAGAGACAGTAAACACGTAAGATTAAATATAAATGAGAAAATGCTGACTTTTTACCAAAAAGCTTTGACTTTAATTATTTTATTTTTTTTAAAGCTTGTTTTTTACTGAGTTACTAAGTTTTTACTAGTTACTAAGCCTGAGTTAAGACAGGTTTGGAGCAGGAGGAACTTTCAGACAATCGGAGCGATTGTCCTTTGTGTGTGTGTGAATCATCTGTGAACACCCCAGTGCCAGTGGGTGGGTCACCCTCTCCTGGGACTTGGTCTGTGTGGACTGAGAAACAGTCTCTGTTTGGATTCATAAACTGTGGTTAAACACGTTTTTTCACTGCGTTCTGTATCTGCTGACACTTCAGTACGTGCAGGGACTCACGTAGCAGAACCGTCCACCTGGGCTACGTACAGAACAGTAATGAACCCTGGTGGAGATGTGGGCCACAATGTTGTGTGTTTCGTCCATTACATGGCACAAAACATCGAGTTTACTTCTTGAATATTTTAATGTTTTCCGGTAAGTTTGGACTGTCCAACATAGGAGCGGTAAATGCAGCCCATTTATTTGACACCTATGTGGGTTTGTTTTGTTCAGAAGAATATGGCAAAAAACTCAGTTAGTTCTCCAGAGGAAATGGCACTGTTTATAGCCCATGTTGACGGGACAAGTTGATCCAGTTTTCTTGGTTCAACACAGGACTAAAAAAATGTGATCTGTACAGAATACAAATCAAGAGACAACTGGTGCTGTCCAAGAAAAGTGCAAGAGAATTCTCACCATGTCAGATGTGGGCCAGACAAGTCTTCTTGACCCAGGTCAAAGGACAATATCACCCTCAGTTTGAATCCCATGTTTGGGCCTGGTGTCTGTTGTATTTTTGTAGACATTTCCTCATCTGTTCTGATAATTACACAGCATTTTAGCATCGGCTTTTTTTTTTTTTTTAACGCCTGACAAGGAACCAAAATAATCCAGACAGATAAAAAGCTTATCAACTGTCACTGTCAACGTCAGTCGGCCTAAAACTAACACAAATAAAAAAAAAAGGTGTTTGGTAATGTACGATAATTACAGGCACAATCAGACGGCAGTGAGATGTTAATGACGGGGTGAAGAATTCAGAATTCAAACAGCGACCGTGTTTCCATCAGTCATTTCCAGTTTCCTGTCACCGACGCTGCGTATATATTTACACCTGACGTTACGTTATGTCACCAATCCTCTCATGAATAAAGGAAGAGGTTGATCCTGTTAGTTCTGCCTCAGACTAGAGACGTGTGAACTAGTCTCTGTCTGAGGCTGATGTCAGCGTGTGTGTGTGTGTGTGTGTGTGTCTATGCCCACATCTGTGTGTGCGTGCACGCTTGAGTAAAGGATTACTCACCCACAGTGTGAATTCCTATGGTTGAGGACAAAGCCCCAGCTGTGCACATCTGGATCCAGCTGTTTCTCCTTACTTTCACCACATCCTTGGAAAAAAGTAGTCGGAGGAAGTGTTCCCATTATGACACGCAATTAATCGCTTGGTTCCAGTTAAAGCTCGATCATGTCACTACCAGGATCGGGGTGAGAGCAGCAGGAGTCGGCTCCAGGGAAAAAAGGGACGGTTCTTGAAGAGATGCTGGGGTGGGATGGGAGTTTGTTATGTTTTAGACTTAACATGGAAAATACTGAAGAAAGGAAAGAGAGGGGGTTGTTAGAGCTGCTTTACTGACAACAAAAAGTCTGGGGGTGCAGTAACAGTAGGGGTCTCTGTTGGCCTCTCGTTTCCTTCTGCTGTGTAGTGTGTACATTACTGTTACATGTGCAGCCTACAGGGCAAATTGATTATGTTTTTGCCCAAAGGGTCATGACGATCGACCAAAACCAATGAGCTGCTCCCTTGTGTGCCATGTCGCTGTTACCTGGGATCATTAGAATTTTGCCAGTGGCATCTTTACAAAACCCACCAAGTCTTTAATGGTACTTTGCACTGCTCCTAAAACACTTTCCTCTTCTACTGTAAATTAAGGCACGGCAGAGCAGGACAGCTTTATTTAGTGAGGAAACCAAGTTGCTGCACAGACACATTTAAAAGGGTCAGACAGGAACAAGAGGAAAAATAAAATTAGATTTTTAGCCCTTTGAGAAAATTGGGGAAAAAATAAGAAAATGATTTAAAGGGATGAATTGCAACAATTCTAGCTCTTGGTTTACCATTTAAAAACCTACCGGCTGTTATTGGGTTAATAAAACAACGTCATAGACATTGTGAAAACAAATGAAATGTTTTAGTCAAGGATTTATTTATTACAACAGTCTCCTGGGATGCTAAGCTAAGCTAAGCTGAGTTAATCTTCCTCTACATTTTGCTTCCCTACCTGCAGAAGAACAAGAAAAAAAGGGAAAAAAAACTTCCTTTTAATTATTCAAAATGACTGAGAAGATTCATTTTATGTGGTTTATGTTGTTAGACATAAAAAAGTGTAGTATAACAAATATAAAAGTTACTAAAAATAACAACAACAGTTGAAAGCTGTAATAGACCAGGATGTAATGGTCAAGGTTCAAAGTCTTGATTTAGTCTTGAACATATCTTGTATTTGAATATCTCTGTTGTATCTGCAGGGAAGTTCACTTTAAAAACTACACTTTGCTACAACTGGACGAGGAGTTTTCCAGAGGAAGAGGTCTAGACGTCGGAGCCCGAGCCTGGAAAGGAGGCAACGTGCTCCTGTTCTTCTGCGACGTGGACATCTATTTCACTGCTGACTTCCTCAACAGCTGTCGACTCAACACACAGCCAGGTAGGACGTACTGTAGGACCATCTGTCCAGACACTCGTGATAAATCACCCACCGTTTCTCTGACACCACTGTGTCTTCACTCCTCAGGTAAGAAGGTTTTCTATCCGGTGTTATTCAGCCAGTACAACCCCACCTTGATCTATGGAGGCGCTGAACACATCCCAACTGTGGAGCAACAGCTGGTAACCCACCCACCCACACACACACTCTCACACACTCTCACACACTCACATTCACGCATCAATTAAAAGTGAGAGAGACTCAGAGATGAGGTTCCACCATTTAGGGGACAGTTTTCTTTTCCTCTCGGGGACAACGGTGTCTGAAAAGGTCAGCTTTAACACCTCAGAACATATTAAATATGCTGCGAATTGATGCAGCACAGGCACTGACAATCGTAACGCAGGAGGACCTCAACTTACATCGAAGTTTCGTTCCTACAGTGCGATGTCCTGTAACTGAATTTTCACCATAGGTCTGAACTCAGCTACACTAACACAGTGGTGACATCACGATCTAGGACAGCAGTTACGCCTGGGAGCCATAACGAAGGGCAAAAAGTTTCCATAAAAAACAAAACAAAAACAAATGAATGAAACCGATTATGGCACAATCATGTATGTTGTACATGGATGTCGTACAACCGGTGAACGTAAACAGAGCCGTCTTCTGTCTGTAGCGCTGCGTGACGACACATTCATCGGCTCTGCTCGCCAACTAGATCCTGTGCAAACTTGTTGATGAGTTTTAACGCCGCATGTCAGAGTGATGGAACTTAACTTTCCTAACAGATTTATGAGAGATGGTGACGTAACCACGGAACTCTGTAAGTTGAGGACGTCATAAACCGAGGACCCTCTGTACTTCTGTCTTTTATCTGGGCCAGACAAATGTACATGATCCTAAAATATTAACAGGGCTTTTCTCTGGAAAGCGTTCAGTGTCGTCTTTGATGTGTAGTTTGGATGTCACCTAACCTGGTCCACACCTCAGGACATTTGTTTTCACGATTGACTTTGATTGAAATCTGGCATGTAGCCCATCATTCCACTGCCTGTGTGGGCCAAATGAAATCATATTATTTTTGCGCTCATATTTTCTCCCTAAGGGAAACTATTCATCATCATATATTCTGGCGATATTTTTTCTTTTACATTTTTTTTTGGTATACTTTCCTACAGGTGATCAAGAAAGACACAGGCTTCTGGAGGGACTTTGGTTTCGGGATGACCTGCCAGTACAGGTCTGACTTCATTAACATAGGTAAATGTTAGAACAGCAACACACACAAACACACACACACACACACTGTAGTGCAGTTATACTGAACATTACGTCCTACTTAGAAATGCAGGAATTCATAAGTAGCTCCTCCCGGGGCCTGATTATCCTTGCAGAGGTGTTGCGTAACAAGGGATTGAAACAGTTGTTGCTATGTTGGTCCATCCGAAAAAACATTATTGAAATGCAAATGGTTCAGTTTTTCATTGTTTTGCTAACTTGCATGGGATCTTATGACATTATACAGCAGGAAAAGCTCTCCGCAGCAGCAGCAGCAGCAGCATATTAGCATATATTACAGTTCCATGTGTCTCTCTGTGTGTTTATTAGGTAAGGAACACTGGCTCTCAACAATCACATTTACATAAAGTCAGTTCTCTGCACTTGCTTTTATTGCCTATACCGCGCCGCACAGTTTTCTCCAGGCATCCATTTCGTATTCGGTTTAATTAGATTTTTTTTCATTAACTTAAAATCACTGACAGTTTAGTTATGATTACATCCCAGTCTAGAATTTTTTATAGGGTGAAACATGGGACTGAAATCTAAGACGATGGCACAGGCTTGAAAAAAAGGTGGCAGGAATAAATTTGTGTAATTTTTAGTCAATTAATTCATTGACACCATTAATTTAATTTAATTTATCATTTGGCCAGCGTGTTGATTAAATAAGTTATTTATTATGTATATATTCTGTAAATTTGTTGTATTTTTTTATCCCTTAAATAGAACAGACGTGTAAAGCTGTGACTGTTTAAATGGAAATTATACTGGAAGATATAATTAGCACGGTGAATACACCAAAACAAATGAAAAATTCATCACACTCTTCCACTCTTCAGGATTCTTCCTGTCTTCTCTCTGTTTGGCCCTGCAGCGTTTGCTAAAAAAAAAAAAAAAAATGTAATAAATACGAGCGTGCCTACGGCAGGAAAAAAACAAAAACAGCCATGATGGTTCAGACATGCAAAGACACAGTTTTGAACACGTCTGGTCGACCCCACACACCCCAGCAGTGTCTTCCTGTAACAACAAAGACGTGTGGAGAGAAAAGTGAAGAGGATCACATTCTGATCTAATCCTCAGTGTTTCTCCAAGACACACACGTTTAGCCTTTAACAAAGGTCTGCCGGTTACTGTGTGTGTGATACTGAAGAGTCTAAATCAGTGGCATCTGACAACACTGTATTTAAACTACTTCATTACTGTGTGTAGGAGCTTTTGTGCAATTTAAATGTAAATATTTCACTCTGGGCATTTTGTATGAAGCAAAATGTCAGATAAAGAAATACACGTTAACTGTTTTATCGAAAACGGGAATAAGTTGTAATTTACAGTAAAGTACATACTTGCAGTTTTATATTCCAAACCACGCACACATTCATTTGCACATTTATAATCACTTCACTGGGTTTTCTTCAGCCCACTCCAGTCTCTGTAATTTCCCAGTAATTCCCACACCACGTTTTGAGAGCTCCAGGTTGGAGCTACACTGGGGTTTTTTATATTCTATGTGCAGTGGCTTCACCATTTTACCTGTGCAGCTTTAAAAAAAAATGTATTCAACCAATAGGGAAAGTGCTAGTGATACTGGTGGTTTGTGTGCTGTAGTTTAAGATTGGTTTGAAAAAAAAATGTCATTGTTTCCCAAAGACTGGGTCGTGACCCTCAGGTGGGTCACAAGAGATTTTTTTTTTTTTTTTTTTTTTTGGGTCGTCTCGCATCATGTTTCCCCGGAGTTTACAAATAATGTCTTTTGACTTGGGTCACAAAGGTTTGTGACTTTTAAAATATGGGTCCCCAGAAAAAAAAACGTTTAGGAAACACTGCTTTACGTAACAGGAAAGCTAGCCAAGAAATAACTAGTGCTAGTAAAATATTATAGCAAAAAAAGTCAAAGAATAGCTAGGCTGGGCCAGATATGGAGTCCAAAATTATATTTAGCCAAAAGATAATCAATCATTTGAGCTAAATAAAATAATTAATTTTGGCCCACAAACAGTTCCGTATAACATTTAAAATAGCTAACAGTGCTAACAGTAACCTAGAATATAATAATTAAATTAACACTAGAGGTTGCTCCATAAATAAATATGAGTATTCAAAAATATTTACTTTAAATATTAGTCAAATTTAGACCAGATTTCACTGATTTCCAACAACCAAATAACCAACAGAGGTTGTCATGTTATACATGTGTTGTGTTGTGGTGTAGGAGGCTTCGACATCGACATTAAAGGCTGGGGGGGCGAGGACGTCCACCTCTACAGGAAGTATCTTCACAGTAACCTCCTGGTGGTTCGAGCACCCTCGCGAGGCCTGTTTCATCTCTGGCATGAGAAACACTGTGCTGACGAACTCCCTCCTGATCAGTACCGCATGTGCATGCAGTCCAAGGCCATGAACGAGGCCTCGCACGGTCAGCTGGGAATGCTGTTCTTCAGACACGAGATCGAGGCTCACCTCCGTAAACAGAAGCAGCAGCACAACACAAATCCCAAAAAGACATGAAGACTTAACAGGGATTTCTTTTCATCAGTGCAGTGACTGCAATCAGAAGGTACCAATGCAACTAATTCCAACTGCTTTAGGCTTTAAAGGACTAGTTCAATGTTTACTTCCTGACAAAGATGTAAAAAAAGAAAGAATTATCTGATGTCTGTTTTCATCTTACTTTTATTCTTTCATTAATTTTTTCAGACACTGTGATGTGGCGGTCAGGATGGTCAGTGGGTTCCAGTTATCCTTAAACAAACTGTTCAGTGATATTTAGGACAATCAACTGAAGAAAACGTTAAAACTATGACTAAATCCAAAATAAATTCTTCATAGGTGTTAGGACCTAATGGCAGCAAAACTGTCTCATACACAGAACAGATGAGTTTAATAAAACTAATGATATGACTAAATCCAAAATACATTCTTCATAGGTGTCTCATACACAGAACAGATGAGTTTATAGATTGAGTCAGAACCAAAACATGGACAGAAAGCGAAGAAACTGATCAGGGCTGAAGTAACTGGAAGACGGTCCCTAAACAGACAGGGCATTTCCCCAGGGAGCGGGACAGACCATGTCAGTTTGACAGTGCACACAGTGGTCTTGTAAGAAACCACTGCATGTTACATAACATTTGTAATGTTATTCTGAGCACACCAAGAGGCTGTCAATACATTTACCCTCCAAAGTCCCTTTTTTTAAGACAACAACAAAATCAAGATGGACTTATTTATTTTATTGTATCTTTCAACTCAAGGTAGTACATGGGTCCTACAAACATCACAGGATGTGATGTATGAAAACATCATATATTGTGTGTTGATATAAAAGGTATCGTCAGTACTTGTGCTTCATTTTCAGTGAATTAAGTGATTTAAAAACAGTATGTGATTTATTAACGTTTCAGAGCATGTGACCTCTGCCCTGAAGCTGACATGTGACGACAGTTATCCAGGAGATATGCTGTAAACATGAGTAGATTTAGAAAATCTAACGCTCATTTTCATCCCCTTTATTTCATGTTCAGCTGTAAATCTCTCTGGACCACGTGCCTTGTCTCTACAGGATGTTGTGAAAACAACGCAAACGTCAGATTTTCGTGTAAAGGGAAATAGAGCCACCTAGTGGAATGAATACGGAAACGCGTAGGCGTACGAACGATGAAGGATGTTTATAGACTTGTAAAACTTTTCATATAAATTATTGAATATCGTTTTAGTATTTATATCTAGTATTTTTTTTTAAATCGCCATTCTGAGGGTTGATTTGAAATGCAGTATTCTTTAAATGCGCCAGTAATCTCTGAAATTAAACGAGAGTTGATGTCGATTTTAAAAACAAAAATATAACAATCTCTCGGTTGTATTTTTTAACGAATGTTTCTCCAGCTCCTTTTGAAAATGACAAATGTTTAAGAGCTCTCAACACAGAATGTTTACGATGAATACAGGGACAGAAAGGTCAATAATGAGATGACCGAGTGACAGTGAAGTACTCTGCTCACCGACGCTGACGACGACTTGAAACAAAGTCGAATAATTATCTTAATTTTACGTTGAATTCTATTTTTTGTGCAATAATGGCGAAGAATGTGACACACGATGGTCACAGAAACAGATTCCTTTTATTTTATAACTTAATTTGGCTTTAATTTGTCGTAATCGTAACATGTTATTATTTGTATAAAATAACACACATTTATTATTTTTATTTCTTAATTAACACTTTTGGACTCAACTCAACTCAACCTGTGGTGGGATTGACCAAAGACCTGAAAGGAGGCATTTCTAGAACAATGATCTCAAACTGTTTGACTGAAACATTCCTTGTTACTGTATATTATGTGTTTACGCTTCCTTTACCTTTCTTTAGGTATGGGTTTTATCCGTGTAAATAAGTTGATGAAAACACGGATGATGTAAACAGTGTGTTTTAAGATGTGTTTTAAAAGTACACGTACAAATGTTATTTACACAGAAGATGGTCAATTGTCTAAAAAATTGAATAAAAACTCAAAAGGTTGTGCATTGTTAGGAGACTATTAAAAATAAAAACTCAAATGGTTGTGCATTGTTAGGAGACTATTAAAGACAGGATGAGTACATTTTTAAAAAATGTATTTCTATAGATACACAGTGGAAATAGACAGTGTATGATATTGTCAGCCCCGGAGCCCTGGATTAAAAAGTGAGAGCCAAATTATATCCATGAGGATTGTGGTTGGTTTTACTTTTCTTTTTTTTCTGACTTCTTCAGCGATTGCCTAAAACTCATTCAGTAATCCCTCTTTACGAGCAAATTACTTCTGAAAAATGGCTCAATTTTACAGGCAAATCACTACAGGACTCAATTACTAACTTGTAATATTTCATTTTTAAATGAGTTTAAAAAAGAAATTCCTGTGTGAGTGTCATACTCTTTTGCACGGTACTGTTTATGGCATTTTAACATCTCTGTGTGACTGACAGGGTTCAAAGTTCAGGTCACATGAAAAATGCGAAACTGTCTTTGATGAAAATTCCTTCTTTATTATAACTCTTAAGACCATGAAATTGAAGTTGGAAATGTAAAGAAGATGTTTAACTCCGTTAAAAGACAAATCAGTTGTTGTTTCGAAATATTTAGTGGTACAAACAGAAAAGCTAAATTGCAAAAAGTCAAAATGTTTCAAGATAAATGTAAAAAAATCGGGGTTCTGATAAAATGTGTATGTTTAACGGATTAAACTTGGAGACTTTCTAAATTATAACATATGTATTGAAACATTTGGAATTACCTTAAAAAACGAAAAAATAAATTTATGATTAATTTTCTTTTTAAAAAATCATAGCAATTGCATATGAATTGGATTCGGTTGTGTTTTGGTCACTCATATAAGGACTCGGTAGTTTAGTATCCTGAGCACTAGATGGAGTCAGTGATCCCCAAGTCCTTTGTCACCTGCAATAAATAATGATACTACAGTGGATACAGAAAAAGAAACGATTCACAGAATGTCAATCCTGGAACAAATTACCATTGTAGACAATGACTTAGAATTAGGGGTTGTCCAACTTTTCACAATGCTTTCTGCCTTCCAAAATACTTGGCTCTTCAAGTACTACCACTATGACTAACAATGAAGTATGCCTGGACAGATGTACCCTGTGGAGCAAACGATTTTTATACCAATATAATATTGTATTATTCTTATAGCTGTTACGATGATTAGCCAATATCAGCCCAAGCTAAAAATCCTCCTTTTAAAACCAAAGAACTAGTGTTATTGTTATTGCATACAAGTAAAACTGAGTTAATAAAATATTATCACTTAGATAGTAAACAGTACTGTACACATTTAAAAGGCTAAATTGTACCTTATGACTGATTTTGTTACATATGCTCTAAACCCGTTCACTGTAATAAAATGATCTCTCAAATATGGTGCTTTGTTCCAGATCACTTAAAATTTCGATTCTAAACTGGGTTTAACGGCGGTTTAAAATATTTAAAAGGTAAACGTGCCTGTAATGGTCGAGTAACTTAAATTTTATTTCATTCCGAGGTTTTTGTCAGTCCATGAAGGCAACATCGGACCACTAGCATCGGCAGTTGTCGGAAGCTTTCGGAACGGAAAAGCTCGTGTTTCACCGGCTACAAATGTCAACCAGCCTGAACACAGGTGCTGGCGGTCGCTGACGGTTGAAGTTTCTGCCTCTGATTTATATATATTATAACATAAGAGCTTGTTTCACTGTCATGGCGGCTATGTTTAGTCACCGAACGAGCTGCAGTACTTAACCCTACTAATGTGTTTGATATGTGTCTCTCCGCGGCAGCAGTGACAGTAATGAAGGCCTATCCCTGGCGGTCTGTTTAGTGTTGTCGCCGACATTTTACATTGGCAGTCGGTGTTGCTCCTTTTTCTTTTTTTCCCCCTCTTGTCTGAGCCGCTTGGTGGCAAACAACTGCAAGCAACGCGCCGAGGAGGAGCAGCCCCTGTTCTCCACTCCTCCACCCCCACCACCGGTGTTTATTACAGGAGAGGACGCACCCACCACGAGCTTGGGACTCGACTCGGAGATAGACAAGAGAAAACATGTTTGAGACCAAAGGACTCCCGTTTGTCCTGCTCGACATCGCCTGTCTCATCCTAGGTACGTATCTACTCTCACATGTCTCCGTTGCTGGTCAGTGTGTCCCTGGCCCTGTTGTGTTGTTGTTGCTGTTGTATTTGTCATAATCCGATTTGATATTTAATTCACTCGCATGTTCACTTCCCCCTGCACCGGTGCATGAAGTACGTTTATTTTATTGAAAATACTTCATATTAGTCAGTGTACGATATGAGAAAATAAAAAATATTGATAAGAATCCGGTGCATCCGATGTGGTGGGATTGGTATTTGTATTGATAGGTTTTCTAGTGCCAGCGCGAAACCCTTGTTCTTTGTTTCCATTGTATGCTAATGATTTTGCACTCTCACAGAAAACCACGATTCGATGTACGGTTTACAGATTAAAATTGTATAATGAGTCTAGTCATTCCTGCCACTTGACTGATAAAGGTCGGTGGCACTAAGGCACTACAGAGCCAAATGACTAGTTGATGCTCCTAAAGACGGTATGATAGTTATAATGGGACACCATTGGCCACATCTCAAAAGAAAAACTAATAGAGACTAGTTAATGACTACACTTGATCTCAGCCAAAAGGCTGAGAAGTGATGACACTAGTTAATGACCAAGCAAATGCAGCCCATTTTCATTTACATAAACATATATAGAAACTAAGTTACCTTCAGAATTAGTGTAGCACTCCTAGCTTTATCCAGGGGCCTCATTCTGCAACCATACCATTAAATGGAGGTAGCTGGAGGGTAACCATTTCTAATAAACTCAATGGATGTAACTAATATCTGCATTCTAAAATACAGTACTTGGCTCTTCAAGTACTGCCATTATGACTAACAATAAATTATGACTGGACAGATGTACCCTGTGAATTTTAGTATAACCATTATTTGTATAACTGTTCAGATTATTGGCCAATATCAGCTCAAGCTACATGGTACGATGATTGTATTGGACATTACATATTTCATGAAAGTTCAATTTTTATTACATTTTTATGGTAGAACATATGTGAAATAAATTCCTCCTTTTAAGACAAAAATCTTGTTCTATGTATAGAACATCTCGTGACTATGTGACCAGAGCAGTGAAGGTCTGTGGAGGACTGAGGCTCGATCAGGTGTATTTTAATGTAGGGAATTAAAATACTGTCCTTATTTGTATTTATTTACAGGCCTAAGTTTGGTTTCTGTTTTTAAGACATTAGTCAAAGACAACCTTTGACTAATGTAGGCAACACTTGCAGGTGTTCTTGACTACCACTAGTGCTCCAAACCTTAAAGGTTTGGCAACACAATTGAAATGGTAATTGTAAAAATTCCCACCACTGTCTACAGTGTCAGAGAACTCTATTACTCCTGTGATGAAGTTTGGCTTTAACTGTAAAAGGTATCAGAAATGGTTGCAGTCTGTCGCCCCGAGATAAGCTGTGTTAAGTGTCTTCTACATTTTAGCTTCCTTGAAATGTTTACTTAATCAAAAATCTAAGTCTGTTTAAAAAAGTAAAAACTTCCTATAATGCTGAAATTTCAACATGTGGACAGTTGGTGTTGTTTTGGTTTTTTTTTTAATGACCAAATAAGGAAAGATTTATACTACAGTTGAATACTTTTAATCTTGTTTACCTGACCAAAACTAACCGCACTTTTCCTAAAACGATGTCAAATGACACAGCTAATCTTAAAAAAGCCTGACTCCTCAGCCCTAAATTGTTAGTCATTTTCCTCAGCCCCTTTTAAATTCTCTCATATTGAATTACTGGATTGGCTGTGGCGCCTACAGGGCGGTCCTGGTTCTGTTTTGCTGTTCCAGCTTCATTGTTGTCTGTGAGGCTTGAATCTGATTATGGATAATCGATTTTCACCATGACTAAGAGACTTATGGTAGAAATCAAAGTTGGCTTTCTTTGTACACACACGAGTAGGTACGAACTTGTACCCAGGGTTGAAAACATTGTTTTCAAATGTCTCCCTTTGCACAATTTCCCCATCAACATCCCTCTTTGTGATGTAAAGAAACAAGTAATACCTGTTTTTACCATTTAGCTTGTGCAAGTTGCACACTGGACCAAATTTAACAACTTCAAACTAAAATTCAGTGTGAAAAGCTATGAATTAGTGAATACACCTTGCACAGTGAATGTCAAATTATAGATGCAAAGCAGTTTTCTTTATTTACATGGACCACAGGAGAAACATTGACCTGGTCATAAACTCCCAGGGTTTCACATGAGGAGGCGGGGTGGATGTTAAAATGTCACTGTAGAGTTTGGAGGGCTGAAGAAAAAGAAGAAGTTCATTTTTCTATTGACACACACATGCTCACAGTTAAATTGTCACCATCTGTGAGAGCTTCTAGACCGATTGCACATGGCTCTATGATAATACAGCCAGAAGCTTAAAAATGGTGTTCTCCGAAGTCCATAATTTGCAGTTGTACAAATTATGGACTTTATTATTGTCTGATATTTGACAAAAGGTAATGTTTGTGAAAATACACTTTCGTCTGTTGTTGTCTTTGCTAAAATAAGGTGTGCTCAAGTACGATGGTCATAAATAAAATAATTGCAGCTGCCTGTATTAGGCCAAGTCCAGCTGCTGTCGCCACTCAGCTCAGGGTGGCACAGCTGAGGGTGTGAACGGCTGCACAAGTGGCCCAACGAAAATACCAGAGTGAACTGAGATGGGAGTAAGTGGCCAAAGTGTGTCTCTATAGGTACAGGAGTCTACGGTGTCCTTGTTGGACCTGCTTTGTACCTAACTTTATGGTACAGACTTTCTGCCTGAAATGACTGTGTCATTTTCCAAGCGTTGACATCAGTGTTCCACTGCCAGACTTTGGACTGTTAAAACTACAACATGATAATCCTGATCTGATAGTTTTTTATCACTAGTGTTAAAATGTTTCCAAGTCTTTTATCACTAGTGTTAAAATGTTTCCACAGCTTCTTTAAGTCAATAAATAATTATAGATAACTTTTTTCCATGGTGTCATTTTCCATGGTGTCATTGTTAAGTGTTTTGTTGTGTTCTACACGCTGTGATATGGAACAGTCCATGTGGATGTCAACATGTTAAAATAAGGACAGACATGTGGCAAAGTCTCCCTTAACAACAGAAAAAAACACACTCATAATATACTCACAGACTCTAGTAAAGTTCAAGTTCAGATGCCACTTTATTATTGACCAGGTATTCTACACCAATGGCTAAAATCTACCCCTAAACCATTACAGAGCCCCTCTCGTAATTTCCCAACAGTTCCAAATGGTTATTGATGTATATTTTTTGTGTCCTCAACTCAACATTGATGTTGATTCAATGTAATAGATTCAAAAGTTAAACCCCAACATTTTAGTTTAAACCATGTTCCTATGAAATGGTTCTATTTGGACATTTTCTAATAGAGCCTTGGTAACCACCTGATGGATGAACTAAAGAGGCAGATGGGTTTTTCCCAATCTTTTCCTAGAACCTTGCCTTGATATTTTTCAGGGACAACTCATTCATCAATTTTTGGCTTGCTGCAGTTTTGATGACTTCATCTACGTCAGCCAGTGATATTTCTTGTTCCTGTCTAAAAACCAGTTTGAAAGTATTTTGTAAAATAACTGTTTAAAGTTGTTTTAAGTAAAGTTCCAGACAGTAATACGAGTTTTCTCTTATGACACAATATATGATAACCATTTCAGGGCAAAACTAAGAAACTATTCTAAGAAGTTGCTAGTTTTAAGGACTTGATTTAAATCAATTAGATGAGTGAAGAAAAAACATAGAATATTTATTTTCCAATGACTTAAACTCACCATTTTACACTTGTACTGTTATGTTTGTAATGGAGGTAAAACAATAACATGGCAAAATCCATGTCTTCCTCTAGTTTGTCAGTCAAAACAAGCCTTAGAAATGATAGAATGATTTGTGTTAGTTTTTTTTTCCCTCTACCAGGTTTATCTTGACCCCTGACTCCTCCCTGTGGTAACCCCTCCTGATCTCTGTCCACAGGGGGTCTGCCACTGGCAGCCTTTAACCTGGGTAAGGTCCGCCCCTACCAGAGGGGCTTTTTCTGTAGCGATGACACCATTAACTACCCCTTCCACAACAGCACCATCACCTCCACAGTGCTGTACACTGTGGGCTTCGCTCTGCCCATTAGCTGCGTAAGTCGGAGTCATGACATGACACAAGGTGACTTAATCAACCACAGGTGCAACTGATAACAACAAAGGTTTCCAAGGTGTGTCTGAGTGTCAGGTACGGTGCGTGGAAAGCTGAGGTTGTTGTCATCAGCTGCACATGTGGTTCCATTAATAATATACAGACTGAGAGAGCCAGCACTTACTCAAGAGTTTATTCAGGAAAAAATAAATGCTTATTTGTTTGATGCTGTGTAATTTGTTCAATTGCACTTAATCTGGAATAAGTTTTGTTTAGTCAAAAGGAGGATGTCCACTTAAAAACATCTGAAACTAATTTGACGAAAATAAATCTGTTATACACACACGCACACAATACCTTTTATCAAGATTTTAATTTATACTTTTACAATGTCTACAGTAGCATTTACAAAAACAGCAAATTTTAGAATTCAACAGACACAAACTCACCCTCATTACAAATGAATCTTAGTGTTGAAATATCAACAATATTATCATGAAGTACGACCAGGGTTTTTTTAAAAAAGTTTATCTCTTCATTTTCATGCTGTTGGTGATTAGTACAACAGACATGCAGGCTTCGTGCTGCGTCCTTCTGTTGCTTAAAATAGCTGGAATGTTCTTCTGGACCAGTGAGATATTTTGCAGAAAAAGTGCCGCTGGCGTGTGTGCGCTTTGATTTTACTGATGCACTGTTTCAGTGTGTGCTCTCCTTATATCTGTTGTTTTTTTCCCGTGATTTATTTCTTCTGTCTGTGAATCGTTAGTGCTAATTACGCTGATCTGTAACAGTGTACCGTCACAGATGTTACTTCTGTTTGAACATTTTATGTCAAAGGAACTTACGGTAGGGTGGGCAGAAATTAAGAACAATCAGAAAATGAGTTGCAGAGAGCTTAAGTGTGTTGTTTTTACTGAAGGGGAGAGGGATGATGGAAGAGCGAGCGTCACTGTGGCTGCGAGAACACGCAGAGAAAAGTGTCTAATGCAACACGGTCTTTTTGAGTCACGTAGAGACCCCCTGCTTCTTCACACACACACTGACGCATCAGGCTCCTGTGGGTCTGTTGCACCAAGTTTGACCACATCCTTTAAAGTGAGAGCTAACACAGTTTCTGGGTAAAATCGTTGTGGGGTCACTTTCTTTTTCCATAACATGCTGGAAAATGACATCTCTGTGCTGTGGGGTTTGACTCTGTTCTGTTAACATTCACACTTTCACCAGCATTTCAATGAGATTTAACCATTAATCTTTGTACTCTAGTGTCCGTGGCAGGTAAATGGTACAGCATCTAACACACACTGACTGCCTCCTGCCCTGCTTGGTCCTGGGTCTGTGATATCTTTTATAACACAACTTTCTTTATGCCTGTTTTTTTGTTTTTTGTTTTTCTCATTGCCTCTCTGCTAGCTGGACTGCCATTTGCAATACTCAATCTGCAACACAGGCCTTTCCGCCGGGGCTTTTTCTGTAATGATGATACAATCAAGTACCCCCATAAAGAGGACACCATTACCTATCAGTTGTTAGGAGGTGTCATGATTCCTGTCACAATACTCACTGTAAGTGCATCTGGTTTGTTCTCTGCACAGTTTTCTCTTTGGTACTTGTCATAATCATTGTTTGCTCTTACTTTATTGATATTTACGATCACACATAAAACGTTATCACAAGCACTAATTATAGCATGAACTCCTAACAGCATGAAGGCTAAAGTTAAGGCTTTTATTTAGTTAACATTAATTTACCTATTGTTTCTGAAATAGTATCATATAAGAAGTCCAGTTTGGCTGTGCCTGGGATTTGAACCTGGGACATACGCTAAAAGGGGTCAGAGGTCACCAACCACTGGGTCATTTGGTACAGTTTGGCCGTGCCTGGGATTTGAACCTGGGACATACGTGTGGGATCAGTAAAGTTTAAATTATTATTTTTTTGCGTATTTATTGCATATTTTTTACCCATGTGAGTACTTTCTTGTATGAAACTGGCAAAAGAAAAGCTGGAGTTATGCTGTAATCAGCTGAACACGGTAAAATAAATAATCCCTTCATTTTGCCAAGTAAAGGTCAAACTCAGTAGGAAACAGTACAACAGAAAGCCTTGACTTAATCATCGATTTTCATTGAGTAACATTTCGTCATTGCTGCTAAAGTTTATCACTGAGGGCTTTTTAAAGAACAGACAGCAGTCATAAACACCCGACAACAGGTTTTACATTCAAACACTCTCAGCCCCCAGGGTTTGTTATCTGTCAGCAGTGTTGCTACACAAACATTCACATGCACGTGAACATTAATATTTTCAAGACGAGGATCCTGTGACTCATTCCTTTGACACAACACAACGTTACTATGAATGACTAAATGTGCAGGCAAGTTTGGTTCGATTTACAACTGAATCAAATTAAATGCACAATTTTATGGTTAAAAAACTATAATAGCTTAATTATTGGAGTTTACACTTGTTTTAGCGGACATCCTCCTGTAGTCCTGATTATGTAATACATTCTCTCAGAAGGTGATTATATAGGGATTAACACATTATTTTAATTATATAAGTGTTTTGAAATTTAATATATTAAAAAGGTTTGGTTTGGCCTTTGGGGAGAAGAGTTAAAGAAATCAACAGGTAAAGGCTTTTTGGATAAGACCAAGGAAGATCAAGCATAATTTAGCAATTTTGGTTGCCACTCACTGAAAACAAACCAAATTTTGCATCTAACAAATGCAGAGGGCGGAAACACGGCTCTGGACCTGTACCTGGCATCAAGCATGAACTTGGCCTCAGTCATCCATTCCATGGAAGACTAAGAATCTAAACAAGTCTTGGATCGCTTGGTCTGAAAATAACAACAATGGGCTTCAAAGTGGAACTTTTTACCTTACAAACAACTTTCAGTTCCCAGCTGTCAACTGTTACTTTCAAAAAATATGAGAGATAAAATTCAAATTGACTTTGACCCCAAAGAGTCAAACCATTCCTTTAATCATACAAACAAGATGTGTTGGACTGTGCATTTGGAAGAAATGTAGCTATCCGGTTGCAAAGCAAAGCGGTTGTATCTGCCAGCTGCTGAAGCAACTGCACATGAATGAAAATGTACGAGAAAAAGATGTGCATGTGAATGGACGCCATGTGTGATCGATACGCTGACGTCGTCTGTAACATGTATTGGAGGGCTCAGCTGTCAATCACAGGTTCTACTCACATGCACTTTTACCACCCTTTTTGTTTTTTATTAATTTAATGTTATGAGTCATTTTTAGGACAACATCACAATGAGTTGCAACCAGTTAGCTACATTAAAAAATCTGAAGTATTAAAGTACATTTTTAGTTAAGTACAGAAGGACAAAAATAGTATTGGCTCTGCTCTTGTACATTTCCTGTTTTTTATTTCCTTTACATGGCAGCTGATCTTTGTCTTCTAACTTTTTATCTCTTCCTCCTCCCTTTTACAGATGATCATTGGCGAGTCCCTTTTAGTTTATCTATGTCGCATCAAATCCCAGTCTTCTTTTGGCAGCTACATTGCCTGTGTGTACAAAGCTGTAGGCACCTTTCTGTTTGGTGCCGCCATGAGCCAGTCTCTGACCGACATAGCCAAGTATTCCATCGGCCGGCTCAGGCCACACTTCCTGGATGTCTGCAAGCCTGATTGGACAAAAATCAACTGTTCAATAGGAGACTATATTGAGAACTTCACCTGCCAAGGAGATCCGACAATGGTCAATGAGGGCAGGTGGGTTTTCATTTATCATTCTGTTGTTGTTTTTTTTAAATTAACTTAAAAATTAACTTAAATTAACAAAAAAAGTATATATATATATATATATGGCCTGCTCTTAGTAGTGGCAACCATTGCCTTAAAGAGAGTCGCTGGTTTATTTCTTAGTCCTCCTATTTGGAGTTTGCATGTTCTCCCTCGGTGTGCCTGGTTTTTCTCAGGGTTCACTGGGAGACTCCTCCCCTCCCCATATTTCTCTGAAGACTTAAGTAGTAGAAAAAGTTTAAATATAAAAAAAGGTATAGTCATTGAAAAAAACTATAATACTACAGCTTCCTGTGTGTACAGTTGCTCAACATAATAATAAGATATGACACAATAAAAGCCTCCAACCTCTGTTGTCAGCAGGATTACACAACACAGTCATAGAGTCTGCACCAAAGGCAGTAGTTAAATATGTCACTGAACAACTCACCCGTTACATCACCGTGCCTCCTGTGTCCATGATAAAACTGTAAAGTCAGTGTATCCTTGAGTTTAGAGAAACATATCAGTCCTTTAGATGACGTCGTCGCCAGATGTAGTTTTTACTGATAGTTTGAATCAATCAGGAGTGCAACTGTTGGGATCACATTAAAAAAAATTATGTTCAGGTTTACAAAAAACAATTATCACCCTCACAATTTTATAATATCTATGGTAAAAAAGCGGTGATGTGAAACTATGACGTCCCTGTGACTAAGTCCAGTTTAATGTTAG